TACCATGTTCATGGATAGGAAGAATTAATATAGTTAAAATGTCAATACTACCTAAGGCAATATATAGATTCAATGCAATTCCTATCAAACTAACAATGACATTTTTTTCTCAGAAATAGAACATATAATCCTAAAATTTATATAGAACCATAAAAAACCCTGAATAGCCATGGAATCTTTAGAAATAAGAACAAAGTGGGAGATGTTGCCCTACCCAACATCAAATCATACTACAAGCTACAGTAATCAAAACAGTATGGTACTGGCATAAAAACAGATACATAGATCAATGGAACAGAATAGAGAGCCCAGAAATAAATCCATTCATATAGAGTCATTTAAACTATGACAATGGAAGCAAGAATTTACATTGGGGTAAAGATAGTCTATTTAATAAATGGTGCTGGGAAAATTGGACTGACACGTGCAAAAAAATGACAATGGACCACCTACTTACACCATACATGAGAACAAATTAAAAATGGATTAAAAACTTAAATGTAAAAGGGCCGGCTGAGTGGCTCAGTTGGTTAAGAGCTTGCTCAAGAGTGCGAGCTCTGAGCAACAGCAGTTCGAGTCCCGGCCCAAGCTGAGCTACCACTGAGCTGCCAACAGGTGGCAGGATGGCTCAGCTAAAAAACAAACAAACAAACAAAAACTTAAATGTAAGACCTAAAACCATAAAACTCCTAGAAGAAAATATAGGAAGTAATTTTGCAGACATTACCCTGAGTAATATTTTTACTGATATATTCCCTCAGGCAAGGGAAGTAAAAGAAACATTTAACATATGGGATTACATCAAACTTAAAAGTTTTTTAACAGCAAAGGCAACCATCAATAAAACAAAAAGTAAGCCTACTGAATGGGAGAAGATATTTGTCAATGATATATCTGATAAGGGGTTAATATCCAAAATTTATAAAATATTCATTCAACTCAACACCAAAAAACAAACAACCCAATTAAAAAATGGGCATTCACCCCTCACAAAGTGACAACCCCCTCCCCTCAAAAAGACATTCCTCTAAAGAGGACATACAGATGGCCAACAGACATATGAAAAAAATATTCAACCTCACTAATCATTAGAGAAATGCAAATAAAAACCACAATGAGATACCACCTCACTCTGGTCAGAATGGCCATCATCAATAAATCAACAAACAACAAGTGCTGGCGAGGTTGTGGGGAAAAGGGAACCCTGGTGCACTGCTGGTGGGACTGCAGACTGGTGCAGCCACTATAGAAATCAGTATGGAGGTATCTCAAAAAACTGGAAATGGAACTACCATATGACCCAGCAATTCCACTCTTAGGTATCTATTCAGAGAAACCCAAGATGCTAATTTGAAAAAAATATATGCACCCCTATGTTTATTGCAGCGCTATTCACAATAGCCAAGACTTGGAAACAACCGAAATGCCCATCGGGAGATGACTGGATTAAGAAACTGTGGTACATTTACACAATGGAGTATTACTCCACTATAAAGAAGAAAGACATCGTACCATTTGCAACGATATGGATGGACCTAGAGAACATTATGCTAAGTGAAATAAGTCAGTCAGAGGAAGACAAATACCATATGATCTCACTTACATGTGGAATCTAAAGAACAGAATAAATGAGCAAAATGAACAGAAATAGTCTCAGAGATATAGAGGAAAAACTGATGGTTGCTAGATGGGAGGGGGGTGGGGATGAGGGAGAAGGGGAAGGGATGAGACAGCATAAATAGGTAACTACAATATTGCCACAGGAATATGCAAGACAGTTCAGGGAATATAATTAATAATGTTGTAAAGATTTTGTAGGGTGTCAGATGGGTACATGTCTTGTTAGGGAGACCACTTCATGGAGAGTGTAGAGGCTTGACCGCTGAGCTGTACACCTGAAGCTGAAGCTGAATAATATTATATGTCAACTATAATTTCATATATATATATATATATATATATATATATATAGTCACGGGATATGGAGTCTAGTATAGGGAATAGAGTCAATGGAATTGTAATAGATATATATGATGTCAGGGAGAAATAGACTGGGGGAGGGAGGTTATTACTTTGTGAGGGGTGAAATGTGTAACTATTACATTGTTTTGCACACCTGAAACTAATAAAATAAATAAATAAATAAAATTGTAATACTTCTATATCGATAACAAAAGATGACTACAAGTCATGTGCATACTACTTTTGGCACCGCTGGTATATTTAGAACAAGAAAAGAAATCACAGCAAACTACACAGTTTTAAAAGCTGAATATACCACAAACATCACAAAGAAACCCAAAAAGTATCATCTGAACGCCTGCCTGACCCAGCTCTGCCCTATAGGTGAGGGACCCTGAGACTTAAGCTTCATTAGCATGGGGAGAAGTCAGGAAGGTGACACACCAAAATGAACACGTATTACTTGGGTCATTTTGTTTTTATAAAAGAATGTTTTTTTAAAAAATCATAAGTCTGAATAACTGATAGGCTATTCTTTTCCATTGTTGTAAAATAGATCTTTGCCCTAACACAGATTTGTAACCCAGCTGCCTGTTACACAATGAGCTGGGGTTCCTGCTGAGTTTGTTCCTGTGTAGTCAAGCTAAGCTTTCCTTGCTCGAAATAAAGGGGGAGAAGAGCCTTATTTGACTGTGAGCCTCCCCCCAACCCTCCCCACGACTTCTGTGTACGAGCTTTGTGACCTTGAGAGAGCTACTTCACATCATTGAGGCAGAGTTTCCCTATCTATAATATGAGGACAAGAATAGGATCTACCGAAAGGGTTGATGGGAGGACTAAAGGTGTTAATGTGTGCAAAGGGCTTGGCTCAGAGCAGGCACTTCAGCTTCATGTTATAGAAGAAGCTGAAGGCAGAGAGAGGGTGTGTAAATGGCCCAGCGTGGATGCGCTGGTCTGGAGCAGAGCTGGAAGAGTCCCAGGGTGTCTTGCAGCCTGTCCTTTCACGGCCCTTCTCAGAGGGTGGCAGGGATGCATGGCTCAAGTGTCAGAACCAGTGGCTTTCCTGGGAGGGAGTCCTGTGTTGAGCAGTCAGAGGATGAAAGCCCAAGGACTTAAGCAAGCGTTATGCAGAATTAACCTAAATTTTGACGTTGGCGTTGCAGCAGACCTTCAGAGACTCCCTGTTGTCTGTCCTTGCTGTAGTATGAATCAGGAGAGGCTAGCTGTCATAACAAACAATTCTACACCTGCGGAGCATGACACAGCTAACCTGTATGCCTTGATCATGCAACGTCTGGCAGGCGCTGCTGGTGGGTCTGCTCCTGTACCTCTCACCTCCAAGAGTGATGCGGGGACCCAGGCTCTGCCACTGTGGGGCTTAGCTGTCAGGAGTCCTACCCTTCTAGAGAGAAGGGGCACAGAGGATCGTGTGGACACCCTATGGACAAGCCTGGAAGAGGTTCACAGCATTGTGACTCACGCCCCCTGGCCTGGACACATCATGTGGTCCCTTCAGGTGCAGCAGGGGCTAGGAAGTGTTGTCCTCCTGTGTGCCTGTGATGCGTGCCCCTGAGGAATGTGAAGGGCTTTGGAGAACACTTAAAAGTGTCTCAGCCTTGTTCACTGACATCTAGCAAGCGTTCCCATCACGGGCTCATGTTCGTGCTTCACAGGCACTGGTGCCTTCACTGTGCCCAACAACTCCATGAGGGGGCTCCTGTTCGTATTATCCCCATCTTACAGATTTGGAGCCCAAGGCCTAGAGAGCACAAGAAACTTGCTCGTGGTCAGAATGCTGGCATTGGCAGAGCCAGGATTTAAATCCAAGTCTTAGTAACGCCAGGGTTTTCAATGTCTGCATTATTGACATGTTGGACAAGATAACTTCCTGTTGTGGGGACCATCCTGTGCATTGTAGGATGTTTAGCAACATTGCTGGCATCTACCCATGAGATGCCAGTACCAGCCCCCACCCCTCACCGAGCTGTGACACTATAAATGTCTCCAGACATTGCCAGATGTCTCCTGGTGGGGCGTGGGGGGTGGGAAATCTCTCCTATTTGAGAACCACTGCTTTGATGCCAGAGTGGAGAGGTGGGAAGACAGCAGGTATCATCATTATTATTACTACGGATGTGGGACTTGGTTGTTAGGGAAGATTTCAAACACTGACATCAGTCTCTGACCTAACCTGGCAAGGCAGGTGAGCCCATTTTCCCCTGCTTTACAATAAAAAGGCCAGTGTCTATTTATTCATTCCTTCATGTAATAGGCATTTGCTGAGCACCTACTAAGTACCAATCCAGCTTCTGGGGATGAAACAAGGAAAAAACCCCAAAAATCCCTGTCTTCACAGAGGTTGCATTCTACAGACAATAAACAAACAAATGAAATATGTGTTTATCTCAGGTGATAATGAAGGTCATGAAGACAAAGTAAGCAGGTGGGGGTGGGGTATAGGAATGGTGATGGGGATTACAATTTTAAATAAGATGACCAGGGACGGCCTCACTCAAAAGGTGACGTTTTGAGCAGAGACATGGAGTAGGGGAGGGGCTCTGCCCAGTGACCCCTGCAGGGAGGATGTTGCACAGAGAGCCGCCAATGCAAAGGCCCTGGGGCCTCCTGGGCAGACGAAGGGATAGCAAGGGTGACCAGCGTGGAATTAGAGGGTGGGTGATGAGATCAAAGGACAGGTGGGGAGACGGTGTTTGTGATGGCCCTGGTGACTTATTCAAGGCCATGTCTAGTCCCAGGGCCAGGACTGTAAGCTGGAACCGTGGCGTTCTCATTTTCAGCTGGGTCAGCTTACATGAGCCATCTCTCCATTTTGTGGGCTCTGTTAGAACCACCTTCTCACATGAGTCTGTGACTCACCTGGGCAGAGCCAACTGTTGCAGGAGGTGAGGAGGTGGGGAAGGCAGGTTGTGATACACGTGTAGGAGGTGTGCTGGCTCAAGAGTGTCCTAAAAGGCCTGCTCTGAGCACAGCCTCACCTCGGCCTCCTCTGTGGTGGAAACAGCAGGATGGTGCTCCTTCTCATGGCAGCCTCTCTGCTCTTTGGCGTATTCTTCTGTGTGTTCTCCGTGGGGGTTGGGCTGTGGGTGATCTGCAACCATTTCGTCACTGCGCACATCCCCGCAGGCGTCAGCCAGCCCTTGAAACTGCGGGTCCTCGACTGCCTTTTCCAGCTGTTGTTCACATGGGTGAGTTTTGTGTTTCACCTGTCCCCTCGTTGTGAGGGTAAAGGGGAGAGTGGGAAAACGTACCAGAAGCTTCTAGCTGAATTGACATGAATAGCATGGTGGTAGAGGCCAACTGTGTGTTCTCAAACCTGAATAATTTCTATTAGGTGACCAGTGGCTCTCGACTTCTTCCCGGGGATTCTCAAGCTGAAAGAGCCAATGGCCACAAAAGTCAAAGAATGATTCACTTTCTCATTTAGGAAACCACAGAAGGCCTACCTCCTACCCTTCTTTGGCCCTGCCTCCTGCCTTCCTTTTTCACAGCACTCACCATGCTGTGAAGCGCGAAGCTAGGAACGAATCATCCTGAATCTTTGGGCCCCTGTTACTACCTACGGGCCAGCTAGAACCAGCCAACGACAAAATAGATGGACACATTAGCAAGTTAGTAAATTAGTACAGGGGCGTGAAACTACAGAATGCGACTTCAAATATAGACCGTTGTTTCGGCAAGATGGGAAACTGTTCATGTCGTTAGTCAAATTCTGCTTGTCATTCTTGGTGTGTGTAATTTCGTGAAATACTTGTAAAGAGGTCATGGAAAGAATCGTGTCCAGGTTGACAATAAGGATTTGCTGTGCTGTTCCAGGGGGCTAACGGAAACTGAATATAGGAAATAGGTTTCTTAAGTCTCTTACCTGGTGAAAAGCGATTGCAAGCTCCTTTTCTCGTGGGAAACTCTGGATGGAGAAGAACCCAGGGGCCGAAGTTTTCTTCCCTGCAGGGTCAGCTTTTACAGGAGGCCACGACTTCGTCCTGGCCTTCACTCTCATAGTCCATAGTCAGGGTCCCCAAACACAGGGAACTCAGTTTCCTCATCTGCAAAACAGGGGGAAAAAATAGTCCTGACTTCATAGCACTTTGTGAGGATGTGGTGAGTTGAGCTGTCCGGAGTGTGTGCTCCAACATCTGGCACAGAGTAGATGCTCCCTAAATACTAGCCTTATTCCTATTTATTGATTTATTCACTACAAAGATGTGTTGTCATCCATCAGTGATGAGCGAGAGAAACAAAGTCCCAGATAGAGTCTTCCTGCAGGGAGCTTGGAGACTCGTGGTGGGGGTGGGGAGTATTGGGGGGGTGGTAGGGGGAGATAGCAACATACAAGCAAAACGATTCACAGAGTGCCATGAGGAAAGTGAGACAAGGGGCTTCGTAATGGGTTCCCCGAACTTCCAAGGGCGACAGAATGCAAGAGGTCCATGAACTTGGGTGGGGTAAGAATCGCCCATTTTCACTAACCTTTAATGAAAATGTAGTATTTCCTTCCATTATAAATGAGGGTGACAAACCACAGCTGACACAACAGAAGCTGCAAGTTTGTCACCAAGAGAAATCATATATTTTCCGAGCATATTAATGGCAGTTGCAGATATTGTGAAAAATCTCGTTTCTTTGAGATTATGATAGTATTAGACCAGCCACCAGACCTCGCCAGTGAGGAAGCACATACAGTATTACATCACACATTGACTTCAATATACTGATAACTTTTATTTAAATAGAGCTGCCTTCCTTTGTAATCCACATCCCTATGTATTCAAACATTCTGCGACAAGGTCCCCAGACTTCACTAAGAGCCAAAATGGCCCTGGCACAGAAAAGGGTTAAGAAACACCAACAAGAGGGTGGCCAGGGGAAAGAGCCCACTTTGTCCATTTCCATTTTTTATTATGCAGACTTTCAGACTTACACCAAAGGAAATGGAAGAGTAGAAAGAAGTCCATGTCCCCACCCACTGTGCTCATGGTTATCCATTCCTGGCCAGTCTCGCTTCCCCTGTGTCCCCACCTTGTCTCACAATCCCCTTTTCTTACGAAGCAGATCCCAGACATTGTATTATTTTATTTGAAAATATTTCAGTAGGTATCTCTAAAAGATAAGAGCCCTCCACCTTTAAAAAACATAACCACACACTGGCTCTGAGCAGCAGGGCCGCAGTTTGGATCCCACAAGAGGGCCAGTGACGCTGCGCCCTCTACAGCTAAGATGGCAAACAACAGCTCAGTCTAGAGCTGGGCTGCTGTGAGTTGCCTGCCACGGTGTAGGCTGCAGTGGGTTGCTGTGAGCTACCGTGAGTGGCTGGCAGCCAGCGTGAGCGGCCAAGAGCGGCCATGAGCGACCATCCAATGGCTGGCAACCGATCTGCCTCACCCGGGAAGAGCACAATGATAATACCAACATGGGCCAGTGAAGCAATGTCCTCCACAACTAGGCTGAAGAACAAAAGGACAGCAACTTGTCTGTTCCCTCCCCCAATTCCCCAACAAAATCTTAAAAAATAAACAAACAAAAAACACACATAACTACAATGTAGTTATCACGTCTTAAAAATAGCAACAAATGCTGGGAGGGCCACGTTGGCTAGCGTGATCTAGGAGGGGCTTCCTCGGTCATGTCCAGGCCGAGCTGGAGCAGGGATCTCATGGGAGTGGGGGCATTCCAGGTAGAGGGACCCTCGAGGGGTGGCCAGAAGCCTGGCTTGTAGGGCTGGGGTGTATGGGGTCCAGGGAGAGTGATTTGAGAGGGGCTGGTGCTGGGGCAGCGAGGGCCTGGGATTTTCTGCGGGTGTAATGGGGACAAAAAGGGGTCGGGCAGGGCTGTGGTCCAGTCTGCCCTACAGTCACGCTGCGGAGGGCACGCGTGGCAGCAGGACCCCTCCAGGACTCCAGCCGGGATTCGCTGAAACCCTTCCCACTCTATTTCCTCTTCTCTCACCAACAGGGGATGATTTTTGAGAAACTGAGAATCTGTTCCATGCCCACATTTATCCGTTTCTTGCACGACCTGATGCCGCTAAAGGAGGATCCGGACGTCATGGTCACCGACCTCCGCTTCGGAACTATCCCAGTGAAACTCTACCAGCCCAAGGCGTCCTCCTGCACCCTCAGGCCGGGCATCGTGTTCTACCACGGCGGCGGTGGCATCATAGGGAGCCTGAGTAAGAGTCCTTCCCCCAGATCCGACCACATTGTAACCCCTCAGAGCAGAGTGCGTGGGCACTCCCTTCCAGCAGGAGGCAGCGCTCCTGTCGTCTTCCTGGGGCCTAAAAGCTTCTATTATGACTAGGGATCACCAGTTAGTGGGTCCCAGATCATTCAGGTGGCAAAGATATGGAATGTATTGATCTCTTTCTGGCAATAAGAAGAGATATGGAATACATATATATGTACGTACACATACAAAGTATGCGGTCTGACAATGAAGTTCGTGAACTGATCCTAGAAAAAGTGCTACAAACCTCATTGCTGAATATCTCTACAGTCACCTTCTGAGTCCTCCCCTTGGGAAGCTATGCACCAACACAAGCGCCTGATCCACCCTTCAAAGCAATTTTGGAACTCTTTTTCTGGAATGGCCATCAGCACTGTTGTCGAATTACCCTTGATGTCCTGAATGTCATCCAAATGTTTTCCTTTCAATATTTCCTTTATCTTCGGGTAAAGAAAGAAGTCATTGGGGGCCAGACCAGGTGAGTAGGGAGGGAGTTCTAATACAGTTATTTGTTGACGGCTAAAAACTCCCTCGCAGACAGTGCCGTGTGAGCTGGTGCATTGTCGTGATGCAAGAGCCATGCATTGGTGAAAAGTTCAGGTCGTGCACTTTTTCACGCAGCCTTTTCAGCACTTCCAAATAGTAACTTGGTTCACTGTTTGTCCAGCTGGTACAAATTCATAATGAATAATCCCTCTGATATCAAAAAAGGTTAGCACATCATTGCAACAAGTTCACGAACTTAATTGTCAGACCTCATATGTGTGGATCTGTGTGTGCATCTCTGCAGGCTTCCCCTGCTATCCAAAAGTAGAGCATTCCTATGACACCTGAAATGAGGTAAAGCGAAAAAGCAATTACCTTAGGACACATCTTGCTAACGGCCACACAGGGTAAGCTGAGATCAAGCCCAGGTGCTCACAGAGGCAGTTCAGAGCTTGGGGCCTGAGGCTGAGATGGTGGGTATGGTTTCCTGGAAAGGAGAGGGTGGGCCCCTCTGGCTGCTCAGGTGCTGGCTGCCTCTGTAATGGCTCACTGCAAAACAAACGCTGAACACTAGTTTTGCTTTGCACCTTCTTGTTTTGTAAAAGTGAAACTCCTCTTCGGACTTCTTCTGGTTTGCCAAAACAGGCACTAATGTAGGTGCCTTGGAAAAGCAAAGAGGCGTAAAGCAAATTTTTGAAAAGCAGGGGATACCTCAAGGCAGGTGCAATTCACAGAACGTAAATTCACTGTTTGGAAGTGCACGACTTAGTGGCATTTCGTACATTCACAGTGATGTGCAACCACCACTGCTACGTAGTTGGAAATGAAATAAGAATTTTTTAAAAACCCCACAAAAATAACTAAAACACATCATTTTGTTTCACATCAGGTATTGCCTGAGACAAATTCTGGTACAGATAGGAAAACCAAAGATGAGAGAGAAAACTAAAAATGGAGGCAATTTTAATATCTTAATCCCCCCAACACCGGGATTTTGGGGAAAAACACCTTTATAATGCTCTCTAATCTGCGGAATGCCAGGACCCATTAGAGTAGTAGCCGTTGAGAATAGGGGACTTAATGTAACCACGGTCTTGGTATGGTCTGCATAATAAATTATAACAGCCAATATTGTTAATTTTTAGTAATATTAGTATTTACGTGGCAGGCCTCTTTTTACACATGAAAGCCCTCTCTGTGTATTGCCTCATTGAAACTCCCACCAGTTTTATTATTAGCGTTATTCCATTTTACAGATGAGGACATCAAGCCTCAGGCAGTGAAGGGATGTGCCCCCGCTCTACTTCAGCTCAAGCTAAAAGGAGGCAAAGTCACGATTTGAACTCGGGCCTGAACCCAGAGCTCACATACTGAACCACTGTACTGTGTGGCCAAACAGCTGCTCAGAAACTGTGAATGAACAGTCGTAATCCAAGCGCTCTGCTCGTGGTGGTTGTCAGCGAGAAGGGGGCAGCTGATGATGAGGGCGTGGCTTGGTGAGCCCACTCGCCTTCCTAGTGACTTTTAAAACCTTTATTTTCTAGAAACCCACCATAAAATATGCTGTCGTTTGTCCAAGGAGAGTGGCTCCGTGGTTCTATCAGTTGGGTGAGTAAATGGGAAGGGTGATGGGATGGGAGGCAGGAACTCAGGCAGGCACAGGGGAGCCAGCGAGGAGGACAGGAAGAGTGGGAGACAGAGAGGAAGAGAACGGACACTCCTTCCTGAGGGTGGCCAGAGGGTGTGTTTCAATGGGGCGCTCTGTGCATGGCATCATTGGGAAGTTGGGTGGGGAGTGGGCTTGGTGAAGCAGATCAGGGGCCGAGCTGCACAGCCAGGGCACTTTTGAATGGAGCCCTGCACTTTCCAGACTCTTCATCCACTAAATGCCCACAGTGCCCTGCGCCATCACCAGGACAACCAGCACATGTCCCACTGCTCCCGAGAGGGAGGTCCACCCAGGGGCGATCTGCTGAAGGAAGTGAGAAAAATGAAAAAGCCACTCTCTCTCCTAACTGGTCTCCGTCACCCACCCAACCTGGAACCTCAAAGAGGTCTTGGTGGACGTGGAGCAGGAGACACCTGGGGGCCCCTCCCTGAGCCTCCACATCAGACAAACTGCACACAGATGAAGAGTGGTCACTGTAGTGGTGTGGCCTTGTCCGCCTGCCCTGCTGCCTGACACATCGTCACACGGGGGCATGGTGGTTCCTCCTGATGAAGCATCTCCTGCTGCAGTTGCGTTTCAATGCACACGCCGTAAAGGAATATCAATCAGCAACCTCTTGGTTGGGATATATCTTCCAGCTTTCTTGTGGCACAGCTAGTTGAGCAGAGTGAAAAAATACAGAAATCAGTCCTGGATGAGGGAGAGAGACCTGGAGAAGTCCCTCACTTTCCAAGCCTCAGCTCCAAAACCCTTTCTGCAGTGGGATGGAAGTCTCGATCTCGTTGTTGGCCACTCTAGGTCTTCCCCTTCTGGTTGTTCTGAACCAAGAGATCATCAGTGATTACACTAGCGAACCTCTGCAAGAAATTATTTGATGTTCAAAGTAGAAAGGGCTTAGGAGTTGAAAGCATTGCTCTCCCAGATAGCTAAGAACGGAGGGCATCACAATGAAAATGGCTAGGAGAAGGTTTGTTGATCCCATAGAGTGTTTCTTTCATTTTCTGTTTTATTTATTTATTTATTTATTTATTTATTTATTTGAGGCTGGCGTTTAAAATAGTAAAATTTCTCACACAACCCATATTTCTGGAATCTCTTGAGAAACAGGGAGGTCGAGCAATGCCAGGCTGGTGAACCTGCATGACAGCAACCTGAGCATAGAGCCACGGGCTCAAGTGCGGGTGGCTGGTCTGGAGGCACCCCTGGTGGCATTTAAGTCTTCCAGGTCCTCCCAGAAAACGTGGGAGCATGATAGAGCTCATTAGAATCTAAATCCAGGCCAGCCTGGGGTTTCCCATAAAAGGGTAAAAAACCCCAAACAAACCAGAGGACAGGTGTGAATCAAGGAGGTGCCATCAGGTAGATTCAGAAGGACGGGGCTCGTGTTGGTGATAGCTAAGTTGGCTGACCAATAGGTGGATGACAGGGCTCTTGTAGTCACAGCCTGTCCCCCAAATTGGCACTGAGACAGTGGGAGCAGTGGCTACCGCTTACAGAACCCATGTGCCAGGCACCGAGGGCTTCTGGTCTATCAGCTCATTTAAACTTCAGACCTTAACTTCACCTGCTCAGGCTTCAGAAAGAGAAGTTAATGGAAGAAATGTGGGCGCAAAGATGCTCGACACAGGTGTTTTGGGCTCTGCTAGGGTGATGAGTGTAAAACGTGTCCCTTGCTTTCTTTTTAGATACCGCATGGTGCCCCAGCATAAGTCTCCGACGCTGGTAAAAGACTGCATCGCGGCCACCATCCACTTCCTGAAGTCTCTCGATAAGTACAGTGTGGATCCAGCCCGGGTTGTGGTCGCTGGTGAAAGTGCAGGAGGGGGCATCGCAGCGATCATTTGCCAACAAATTATGGACCACCCAGATCTCCCAAAGATCCGTGCTCAAATCCTGATCTACGCTGTCCTCCAACTCATGGATTTCCAACTCCCTTCTTCTCAGCAGAACAAGAACGTCCCACTGCTCCGTGAGGATTTTATCTTCTACTGTTGTCTTAATTACTTGGACATTAATTCTTCCTGGAGAAGCACCATCCTGAAACGCGCCCATTTGCCTGCCAAAGTCTGGGAAAAGTATGAAAAGTGGTTGGGCCCAGAAAACATCCCGGAGAGGTTTAAGAAGAGAGGCTACCGGCAGGTGTCCCCGGCGCCCCTGAATGAGGCTGCCTATCTGGAGACAAATGTCGTTTTGGACGTGATGAACTCGCCCCTGATTGCAGAAGATGAAGTGATGTCTCAGCTCCCGGAAGCTTGCATTGTGAGCTGTGAGTATGACTTTCTGCGGGACGATTCACTCTTGTACAAGAAGAGGCTGGAGGACTCGGGAGTCTCCGTGACTTGGTACCACGTGGAGGATGGTTTTCATGGCGTGTTTAACACCCTCGATATGGGATACTTTCAGTTCCCCTCCTCCACAAAGATTCTGAATGCCATAGTCGATTTCCTAAAGAAGTTGTGAGCACCTCCGTTTCCTGCTAGAGCTATGACAGTGTGGGTCCCGCTATCAGCCAGTTCCCCACGGGGCTCACTTGCTGATGGAGGTGATGCTGCGTGGGGCTAGGGAGGGTTACTGAGATTGTCATGCTTCTTGCTCTAGGCTCTAGAATCAGAGGATGCATGTTTCTGATGTGTGAAGGGAGAGACAGGTTTGGGGGAAGGCGGGCTGTCTGTCCATGTGCACTGTGGGGAAGATTTGAGCTGAGAGTCTTCCAGTGGCCATTTGCAACAGTGAATGAGAGTGTAAGGGTTGCCCGTGGCCTCCCTGAGGGAGACTTCGTCTGCCTCAGCTGATCCAGGCTGTGGGCAACAGGAATGTCCCCTTGGCTGGCCGTGGAATAACCCAGGAGCAGCATGTGCAATCTCCTGGGCCTTTTCCAACCTGGCTCAGAGGGTGGGCCCTGATGTTCTAGACTGCTGGGTGGAGGTGGAGAACCTGGTTCCATTCTCTGTGTACACAGTGACACTTTCTGCTGTTCCTCTGAATCTGAGTTCAGAGTCTCAACTGCCTGGGCTGGAAGAGGTAGGAGAGCATGGATAGGCTTTTCATGGTGGTTGGCACCTAGTGGCAAATGAAAACAGCCCAGAGCCACCAGACTGTGGGAGTCACAGTCAGGCTTCCAACCAAGGGCCCAGAAGCAACATTGTAAGTGTCAGAAGGGAGAAGATGGGGGGTTGGGAGGAAGCTGTGTCCATAAAGATTGAGTCTGACCAAACTCAATCATCCTAGGAAACAGGGAGGGTGAAAGGGACTGAAGATGTGTTAGCAAGGGCTATGTCAGTTTTAGGACACAGAACCAACCCAAATTGACCTAAATCAGAGAGAAGATGTATTAGATAATGTAGCTATGAATTCTAGGGATAAATCAGTCATGGTTTTATGCAGGAACTCAAACAATGCCACTAGCCACCTCCTCTTCTTCCCTATAGTCTATGCTTTTCTCTATTTAATTCACCTTCATGTTCCCATGTGGTGGCCCTGAGCAGCTCCATGCTTACGTGCTCCCAGAGTCAAGTCCGTTATTATGGACTTGCCTCATCCCCAGCAGAAATTGCATTGCATCTTGATGGTGCTATGGGCTTTCTGAATGGTGTATCCAGTTGCCACAACCAAGGAAATGAAGTGTTCTGACTGACCAGTTGCAAGCCATGCCATCCTTGGAGTGCAGGGTGGGGTCAATGCCACCTGGTGCTTGAACTAAGCATGGCGGAGGAAGGGAGAACTTCCCTCACTCCAACACTTACTCTACTACAGAAGCTACATTGCACCCTGAGCCAAGGTACTTGGAAGTGGCAGAGGTGTCAAGGACCACGGAGCAAGTTGACCACCTGCCCGTTAAGAATAAAGATTCCTTTAAAGCAGCGGTTCTCAACCTGTGGGTCGCGACCCCTTTGGGGGTTGAATGACCCTTTCACCGGGGTCGCCTAAGACCATCAGAAAACAAAAAGATACTTACATTACAATTCATAACAGCAGCAAAATTACAGTTCTAGAGTAGCAATGAAAGTCATTTTATGGTTGAGGGGGTCACCACAACATGAGGAACTGTATTAAGGGGTCGCGGCATTAGGAAGGTTGAGAACCGCTGCTTTAAAGGGATGACCCAGGCTCCCATGCTGGCCCTGCCTGGTCTTCAGGAGGCTCTGGTTGGCCAGTGGCTGTTATAGACCAAGATCCAAGTTTACTGCACAAGGACCCCTGCGCACACCTTTAACTTGAATTTTTGTGCCGACACATGGGGCAGAGGAACCCACTGGATGGCATCTCAATCCATTCACAGCAGGCAGACCAGCAGGCGGCTTTGGTGGAGGAATGTGAAGTGCTCACTGAAAGAATATAATTTGGTGGCCACTGTGCTGTTGGGGAGCACAGGACTTTGCTTCTGAAACAGGTGTCTGAGTTGAGTTCGGGTTGACTTCCCTCCTGAAGTGTGACCTTTGTTTGACCCCTGCCTCTGGAGATGGTGGAAGAGACTTGAGCGGACCTAGAAAGTTGGATGGTTGGCTCTTTACTGAGGGGTGCCGAAGAGTGGGTGAGCCCCTGGAGGACTGTGTCCAGTGGAGATGAGTGGGTTACACTTTAAGGGCTGGAAGCATGTTCTAGGTGGACTCATTTCCAAAGCTGCTTCCTTCTGTAGATCATGAGGGAGATAAAGCACTTTAACCCTCAGTGGCTGGTTGGGTTGATTTGGGGACCAAACATCCCACTCTTCTGTTTTACTGCACCATTACTATCCTTCCTGCCACCTGTTCATGAGTCTCAGAGGATGGGAAAGGGGGGAGAAATGAACGTTCACCAAGAGCCAACTGCATGCGAGAAACTGTGCTGGGCTGGTTAAAATTGCCACCTCATTGTGAAGAGAGCACACCTTGCTGCGCAGGCATTTTACAGCATGACAACCCTGCTCCCTCCTAGTCTGGACATTTAGGTAAGGATCTGAGCTTAGGATTCCCGCCACAGTTTCCTGCTTGGTTTTTCCTGGGTCACCTTTTGAAATAATCACTTAGAGTTGAGACTGTGAAGTTAGTGACCTTCACCCCAAACACCTGATAAATAATAGGTGCTTGCTACCCTGCTCGCTATCTCCTGCTCACTTGTGACCTGGGATGGAGGACTGCCCTTCCCCTGGCCCGTCGCACCCCCTCACACCCTGTCTCTGGGAATTATAAGTAATAAATCTTGTGACTTTACTTCCTCTGTGTGAGTATTGAAACGGCGCCTTCAGTCAAAACAACCTGGGGTTTTCACTTCCCCGAAGTGGGGACTCAGATGCTGAGGGGGCTACTTGCCGACTCTGTGTGGGCAGCTTGTGCCTCCTGGGGCAGCAGGTCATAATGTGCAGGCTCTTAATTCAATATACCAGCTTCAGAGCCCACCCAACACACTCATGTGCCCCTCGCATGGATTCTACAAAGTGGGTGTTCTTAAGCCCATTTTACAGATGAGGAAACTGAGGCCCAGAGCCATTAATGACAGCACTCATTTCCTGTCTCTGTCTCGTCAGGCTCAAGGCCAACTGATTCCCTAGTTTGTCCAAGGTCACGTGATTGGCCAGGTGCTCCGCATGGCAACCCCTGACCTGCCTGACAACAGCCCCTTTCTGTCGTGCCCCTTGGCCCACTAGCTCTTTTCTTCCCCATCATTCAGAATTAAAATGAAAGACACAACCGAGCCTCATGACCTTGTTTCCCATCCAGCGAGGCATCAGCTGCTGTCCACGTCGGGTGGGTAGAGTCAAGTATTTGCCATCTGGTTTCCTTTTCTTACCTGACTGTAGGTTTCTCTAAGTCTCAGTGAGTTTGGCATTGCTAACAGTGGATCCCTCCGGGAATGGTGCTAACAGGGCTCAGAGGAGATGGATGCCCACACACCGTTACATCCCAGACACTCTGGGAATTTTTTTTCCCGTAAATTCTCAGGACGTCCCTGGAAAGACCCACCAGTTAGCCCAGGGGGAGTGCCATCTGCTAAAGGACAATGTGTTGCATCACAAATTGCTGTCTTATGTCAGGAGGCAGTTAATTGAGGACAACGTCCTAAGACAAAGGCAAAAAATTGGCCAAATTAGTCTCTGCCGCTTTTCACCCCAATTCCCTTTCAGTGTCCTCCTCAGGGTGCTCCTCACCCCCACCTAGGACCTCCTTGCCTTTCTAACCCCAAACCTTGTCTCCCTCTCCCCCTGCACTCTCTGCTCCAGAGTGACAGCTGGCTCTCTCCTCTTATCCCTGCGCTAGCATAGGCTAGTACACGTTAGGCTCTGCTGCAGTGACAAATGGCCCCAGAGTCTCAGTGGCTTATGACAGCGAGTCTATTTCTTGCTCACGTTACACATTACACAGCCCTCACGGGTTGGCTGTAGCTCTGCTCCACACTTGTCTACTCCAGGATTCAGGCTGACGGGACAGCCTCTACATGAAATATCTCCAGTCTCATGGCAGAGGGAAAAAGAACATGGCGGATCATACACTGGCTCCCCAAGCTTCTGCTCAGAAGTGCTCACCTTTCATTGGCCAGAGCAGGTCATATGGCCAAGCCTGACATAGATGGGACAGAGAAGCATAATCCTCCCCAGAGAGGGGCAGTGGGTATATTTGGACAATATGACAGCTACCACACTGTCAATCATATTTCTATTTCCATTCTGCCTTTTAAAAATTAATTTTAAATGACATACGTGATACACAAATATATTCTCTGTTTAAATAAAACCTTCAAATGCTAGAGATAAGCCTAAAGTCCCCTCTGTCCACTCTCCCACAACTTTATTCCCTTTTATCTGTATGTATCCACTGTTCCTTTTTGGGGGGTGGGGTAGGGCCTTCCAATCCTTCAAAGCCTGCTTCCATGCTTTTACACACACAGATATATACCCATAGACAATACAGAGTATCACTCCTGTGGGATGACTTTGCCATATATTTGCACATAACAGAACAATAATTCTGTATACGTTGTGCCACTTGTTTTTTTTTCACTCAATGACACGTCTTAGAAATGATGTACATTTATCTTACCCCTTCTTTTTAGCTACTCCATTGTATTCCACGGTATGACTGTATTGCAGTCTTAGCCATTACCTGCTGGTGGACACATTTTGTCTCTTTTCAGTATTGCACAGACAAACAAGTCTGTAGTGAACATTTCTGCACACGCCCCCTTGCATACGTGTGATTCTGGGATAGATTCGAGAAGGGGGTCATTTGGCTGGGCACATTTTAAGTGTTGATGGATGCTACCGAAATGCCTGTCTTGCTCCCTTGTTTTCCAACAGATCTCAGTTGGGAGGGAAGTAGTTGGATCATATGCATAACCACCAACCCCCAAGGCAGAAAGGAAATTGATTGGCTTGACAATGACAGATGGCGTGGCACGTCTGTATTTTAAAATGAAAGTTCCTTAACTCAGACAAACCTCTGCAAGAACCAGTGGAGGAACTGGGGCAGGCTGCAATCTTCTTGGGC